GTTCTAGGTTTTCCAGCTAATTGGAAAACCATTAGGTGTAAAAATTTAGGCTATAGTGAAAAATGCGCACCAGAATTTCTTCTCCATTCACTGGTTTTCTGCAGTTCATTGCTGCTGATTTGGTCTAAGGCCTGCTGTTAAACACCTGCTGCTTAAACTGTATTATTATAACATCCACATCAGATCCTAAGCCATCTTCATCCTTAACGTTAAAGCATTTCTCCATCATTAACATCATTAACCTGGGCACACACTATGCATTTTTTGGGGGGGGCGGGTTAAGTCGCGTTATTCAGCTCTTGCTCAAAGTGTACGACTGAATCGCAGGGGTTAAAGTTTGTAGGTCACGATGCATGTTCCCACATTATACGACCCGATGCTCTGATGCGACCTGAGTGCTCACATTGTGCATTTATACACAACTGCACACACGCTGAAATGGCGTGCTGCTCCGTCTTTTTCACTTCCATTTCTGTGTTTGCGTATGCGCAGTGTGAAAGGTTGCGTTAAATCGGCCCGTGGCACTGCTTCAACAGTGCAATACCCTCACGAGGGGCGACCAGGATTTTAAACAGGTTTGATTTTCTTGCGACCGTACGATTGCTGATTGGGAGCAGGCTGTGAGGTGTTAATCGCTTCTCGTTACCCCATGTATACTACACGATGCACAACACACGATTAAGGCGAAACTCGGGCCGATCCCCAAAATGGTCACATGACTGGAAAATCGTCTCAAAATGGGCCCAAACTCTCACAGTGTATGCCCAGCTTTATTTATTTCCGGGTCTGAATGCGGTTTCATTTTCTAAAGCCAAGCAAACATGAGGCACCGCTGAGAGGTAAAAATGGTCCAGGCTTTTTCAGCTCCAATAAAATGTAGTGTAGCTGTTCTAACAGGTGTTACAGTAAAATTTAACGTCCAGGCATCCATAAAGATTAATACCCACACTGAAATTTCAATCAGCCTGAGAGGGATTGAATTCTTAGGCTTACGAATATTTGATATCTGGGATCCAGTGAGCCTTCTGGCTGTAGTGTACACCTCGTGTTTTAAAAACTTACAGATCTGCGACTGAGAATGGCCACTAACTCGTTTTGGTAGGAGCTCATGACAAGATAAAAAAACAAGAGCCTCATCCAACCTGAAGCAGGATTAATACATCATCACTTAATATGTATTAAGTGTGTGTAGGGTAGAGTATTAACCCCTTTGTTCACGCTTTAATGCCTGAACATTAGATCTAAAATGAAGCCTGACAAGGCATTCGAAAGGCATCACAACATCTACCATATCAACAAAATAGAAACCACATTTCTTTGCTGTACAGAACTGTGCTGACGGGTTTTAGGTGTGTAACTTGTGTCGGAGCGTCTTAGTTAAAAACTGTTGTTTAGAGACGCTCAGTCCCCTTCAGACAGCAGCACATATGGTGAGGTTCCCACCTTTCCTGCTGTCACTGGGATCAGAGCAGTGCTGCATGTCTGAAGCTGTGTCAAACACAGACTCTTTACCTGCGTTGTGTTGTTCCTGTGGCGCTGCAGCAGTTCAGTGATTACAGCTGTTTCAGGGTTCGACGTGACCGTGACCAGGTGCATTAGGCTGACATTTAAAATGAAAATGGCAGACAGAAACACCCTCCTTCTGTTTTCTCTCATTTTGACCAAAAAAGGCAGTGTTGGTTGTCTGCAAGGATGATAAATGTGAAACTATAGAAGGTTATAGTCAAATGTTATGGAAACTATGCTAAACTTCTAAATCTTCCATGTTAAATAAGATTGAAAATAAGTTAACAAGGAAATAATTCAGACATACCATAGTGTGACAGAGTGATCTGGGATGTTTAAGGAGCGAGAAAAGTAAAGAGCTGCAGGACTAAATAACGAAACGAGAGCGTCGTTGTGAAACAAAACGCACAGCTCTAAGAACTTTATCTGACTTACCTGTCTTTACACATCAAACTACAGCCTTACTGACAAACAGTTTTTTACAACACCTGAAAGTAAAAAGTTGGTGCTGTAGTGTCATTGTTGATATAGTGTGCATAAATATAAATAGAAAAGTGTGTGGGCAGGTGAGGTGACCTCAGCTGAAGTTTTTTTTTTGCCTGTGGCCAAATAAAGTGCTGTCCATGCGTGCAGTTGGATGTCCTGCAGCTAAGGCACTGGCCACAATCCAAAATCTGCACTGAGACAAAGAGGAACTGACAGATGGATAGGTGATGGGGGAGAATGTGGAAGGAAAACTGTGTCAAGACAAAGAAAGAGAGCCAAGGAAGGAGAGGTTGACATAAAGATTGAAAAACCTCAGCAGCACATTTTCCCGTGATCCACTTTTGTGCGTCCTCACTCGTTGGGCAGCGAATTTATCCTCCTAAATTTAACAAGTGCACCCTACTTTTTACCTCAGGAGCTCAGGTAGTGCTCTCTTCATGTCACAACCTGCCTCACATCTGACGCACTTTAGGTCCTAAACCCAGCAACAGACAGAAGAAAAAAACACTTTTATCGGGTGTTAAAACTTTCTGACAGGCTGTGGGTTGAGAGTAACTTTAGACAACAATGGTTTAGTTATGTAAGCCTATAGAAACAGAGCTGTCTGCAGAGTGAAGGGAGACAGTCTGTGGACTAAAATACCAATTAATCCTTCTGCAATTTAACTGTTAGCAGTAAGCCGGTCCAGATAAACAGCTGCTGGTGTGAATCCATTGCGGTGCCTGTAGACGATTAGTTGTTTATTTATTTATACTTTTTATTATTACTCCCATTGGCTGTGACACAAAGCTCACAAGTCATTGGTTACTCAGAAGGTTGGAGGTCTGATCCCTGGCTGCTTCAGTCTGCATGTCAAATATTCTTGAGCAAGTTACAAACCCCAAGTTGTCCTCCGATACGTCCGTCAGAGTATGAATGTGTGTCAATGTTAGATAGAAAGCACTTAAGTAAAAAAAGCAAAGAAAAAAGTGCTTGTATGAATGGGTGTGAAATGATATAAAGCACTGTGAGTGCTCAAGTAGAGTAGGAAAGCGCTATATAAGAACCAGCCCATTTACCACACTTTAAAACAACTAAACTAAAAATAATAAAAGATGGTACAAAAAGGGTCATTTGAAAGTGATGTCTAAATTTCTGCAGTTCCACACATACATGTTTGATCCATGTACACGTGTTGCATGGATTTCCTGTGTTGGCACAAACCTCCCAGTTAAGGCAACCACACTTATAAATGAATGAGTCATAAAACATGTGCTCCCCGGACAGTTGATGAATAATGGCCAAAACCATTTAGTTGTTCTAGGCCAGGGGTGGGCAATTCCAGCACAACACATTCAGTATCTCAGGTTTTGCTTGAATGACAGCATGTGGGTGCTGACTCCCTCGCCAGATATTTACATTTCCTGTTTTTATATTCCGCGTCTCTCTGAATGTACTATGTGCTCACTGTGAACTGCACAATTCACTGAGTGTGGGACAGAGGACTCTGTGTGCTTTTATGTTCTGTACATAACAGCTTTGATGACGCCTAATCGTGGTTTCCCTCTCACACTTTCACCCTGTCATTTCCTCACTCTCCCCTTTATCACTCCATCTGGTCCTTTCTTGTTTGCCCCACCTTCCATCATCCTCTTCACTGCAGTAATAATATCTGATGTCACAGTTGCCATGGGAGCTGTGCGATAAGTTTGCTGGTCGTCTAGTAACAGACTTCAGTCACAAAAATTAAAATGGAAATGACAAACAACACACTGAACTGTGCACATTTTAAGATGGGGATGTATGTAGTATAAAATATATTGCTTATGTTAGCACGTTTTAATAAAGTACTGTCATCTTATTTCACCTATTTCCATTTTGCAAGCAAAATGTAAAGAAATGAAGGGTGCTCAGTGCTTACTGCACATTACTGTGTGGTATAGAGCAGAATAGTTTTGGCTGAAATGAATTGCACATCAGGAATTTCAAACCTGGTTGTAAATTTCTTGAGCTACTGTTTTCATTCTTGTGGAAGAAGCTGTCTTATCAGATCCAGGAACACATCTAATTTTTAAATAAATCCATCAATTATGTCCACATTAGGGCTGCAGTATCACCAGGTGAAATGGGATTTTCTAGATGTCCTTCACCACAAAACATTTTCTTCTGGGAAATCCCAGCTGCACTTCAATGCCATATTTAATCTATTGAACGAGGTTTACATCGGGTTTCCTGCAACTTTTTGGGTGCCCAGAAAACCTCCAAAGGCAGGTGTCAAGAATCACCCTTATAAGACATATGAACCACCTCACCTGGCTCTATTTGAGATGAAGGAGCAATGTCTCATCTCCAAACTCCTCAGCTATCTGTGGAGGGCTGTCCACACAGAAGTGATGCAGGAAGCGACTTCCAGAAACTTGAAGTAATGTCATGTGAAATAACAGCTTGCAGTGTGAAGTGAGTCCATTCTTGTGTTTATATGTTAAGGCTGAGGAAACTCTGTCACTTCATTCTTTTCAGTTGCTACTCACAGCTCGTGACTGTGAACGAGGTGAAGCTTTACAGCGATGCTACTCCAATCCCCCTGAAAAATTGCTGCCATTACTCTGTCTTTAGGGGTAGATGGAGAGAGAGAGACTTGTTCTTCTTCTGTGGGTGTAGTTCAGTCGTTCTGCTCCAGATGTGGCGTGATAGATTAGCTGAGCATGTAGGACATTTGATTATCATAAATCACATGTTTGAGCTGTAGATCAAATACAGGTCAGTGTGTATTTCTGTGAGCTGAGCTGCATCTTCTGGGTTACTTTAAGCAGGCCACAGTAATGAAACCAGGACACTCACATGCTGTCTTGCTGAGTCTACTCTTCCTGTGAATACATTTTAAATTGAGATTTCTTTTCTCCCCCTTAGGTAAAGAGTTTGGTGGCCAAAAATCCAGCTTTTCCCCTCTCGCTGTCCTACATGTCTTCTCTCCTTTTCTGTCTCTCCCTGTGATGCTGGGCTGGGGCTGACTGTATGCCCGTGACCAGACTGAAGCTGGGGAAGCTAAAGGTGGTGCGGCGGCAGCTGCTGCAAAGGTACAAAACACCATCACCATTACACTCACTGTGGTACATACAGACTGTAGTTGAATAGTCCAAAAAATGGCCTCTAACCTCTTTTTTTTCTTAGTCATCTTTCCTTGATCTTGAAGGAAACATTGTAAGTTAATATAGCTTCTAATCATTATTTACCAAGGTCCGGTGGATTTAGAGAAAGCATATAATGGAAGCCAAGAGGTGAACTGTGGTACTTCATGAGGAAGCCATGGAAAAAGTTAGGGCAGAGAAGTGTGTGATGGTGATGCAGGACATGTATGAGGACAGTGGTGACAGGACAGGCTGACTGATGAGGTCAGGTCTCTGAAATATGATGTTTGCAGAGATCAGGTGGAAGAGAGCCTGGAGAGGTGGAGGTGTGCACAGGAGAGACGCTGGGCAGAAGATGTTTAAATGAGAAGGAGACAGATGGAAAAGTGAAGATGCGAGGAGCAGAGATGGTGAAGGAAGATGAGTTTAAATAGCTTGGGTCAACCATGCAGAGCAACTGACAGTAAACAAGTAAGGCGAACAGGCAGGGTGGAGACATGGTGGGGACACATGTTAGAGGCAATTTTTGACACAGGAATATCAGCAAGTGTGAATGGGAAGGTTTACAAGATGGTAGTGAGACTTGCTATGATGTTTGGGACTGACAAAAAGACAGGAAGTGGAGAGCAGGGCTCGCAAAATCACCAGCCCGACGTCCCGGGGCTAGCGATTTTGCAAGCCCTGGAGAGGCTGAATATGTTAAGATTTTCATTGGGAGTGACCAGGATAACATTAGAGTACATCAGAGAGACAGCTAAAGCTGAGCAGTTTAGAGATGAAGAAAGAGAGGCAAGGCAACCTCAGCAGCAGATTTTGTTACAGCTGCACTTTTTATGAGGGTTTAACAGAGCCTGCAAAGTTAAAAATAAAACACATCCAGAAAATGTAAACAGCAGACAGGGTTAGCCTAAAGTAGCTTGAATGGAGTGTCCTGAATTATTTTTACACACTGGTACAAAGAGGCATTCAATAAAACAAAATACACCCTGATTTCAAATCTAGAATTTAGACCATTTTAATTGTCATTGGTTCCTCGGGGCTGAACTTAATTTGTTTTAAAGTATCAGAAAATAACTTTTCAAACATCCTGTCTGTACACGATGAGCTTTACACTGTTTTCATGGAGGACTGTTCGATCTAAAGTATGACCATCTGTACAGGATGAGTCACACAGCTTATTTATGTACCGAGATAACCTGAATGCATCATCTAAACTGTGCTATTTTCCTGTGTGTTTACTGTAGGAAATGTTTGTTGCTGGCAGTTCGTTGATTTCAGTAAAATCTCGAGCAACCAGCACATTGTCATGCAAAGATTTATTAATTTTAGATGTTAGTGAATCTGGGTTTTCACTCAACATTATTTTGATTAGATTATTTCACACCCTGCACTATTCTTTGCTCATTTCCAGCTCAGTATTTTCATGTTGGAGTACCTTTGTATGAATCCTAGATTAAAATAATGCTTTTTCATCATATCAGTTGGACACAGTATAACACAGTGGTCACAGGATCATTAAACATGCTGTCATGATTTGAAATACTGTGTACATCCTCACGTTTATGTGCTTTTCTTTTCTGGTTTTTCTTTTTTGAGTCGATGCTCTTGTGTTTTTAGTTTTCTTTTACTCTTTATGCTGTAAGGGCCATCGACTTGTCAGGGGCTGCAGATGTAAAGCTAAATCTGGCACATTTATACATTGACCCTTACTGTGCATGATCCCTTTTTTTTTTTAAACATTTGAAAACAAACCTTCTGGGCCTCGATGCTTCAAAGACGAGCCCTTTTAGCTCCTGTCTTGTCCTTCCTGACTCTCTTCTGTCCCTTCCGGCAAACACAGGTTTGAACAGTAGGTGGGTGGAAGGCCAAGATTTGGGGTGGGGGGCCAAAGAGACCAGTCTGAAGCCTGTTCCTTTGGATAGCAGAGGTTACCTGCCCATAGGCTTTGTCCATGTTCTATATGAAGATTCACCCCTGTAATAGTACATGACAGAAAAAACATAAATGTCCAGTTTAACACTTCTCAGAAATGACAGTAAAGTGTGTTGCTCAAAGCCTATTTGTAATAAAATTGTAGGACTACAGTTCATTCATAACATGTATTTAATATGTTGAATGCTGTATTTAGGAAAGTGTCATCCTGAGTGTTTTTGTATCTGTATCAGGTATGAACACCAGCCATTTGTCTCCTGTCTGGCTGGCCTCTACGGCTGCCAATGGAGACGATACCAAAGAGCCCGGGCACAGCCGGGAGAGTGCTGCTGCAGCAAGGTACACACACACACACACACACACACACACCACACACACACACACCACACACACACACACACACACCGTCTGCAACAAGCAGATTGTTGGTTAGTTTGCTGATTGTGCAAAGAGTATTGATTACCCAGCCGGTTCTCCTCAGTCTGGCCTGCTGACTCTGACTGCTTTTTCTATGAAAAAATATCAGTATGTGCATACGCTCTGTCAGCTGGTTTTAATATTTAGTGGTTCTATTTGCACCTGGTAATAAAATACGTCCTCAGCATCAGGGAGTTTGTGCTCCAAATATGAATGTAAACCTTTTTTACCCCGAGAAAACGAGTTCGCCTTTAAACTGTTTAACATCTTCACCAGGAGCTAGCGGAGTATGATACAAATATATTTGATTTTTTTCTTTTGTGGAGTAGAAATGGGCTGTTTGATTGAACTTCTGTGTGTTTTACAGGTGGAGTGTGGCAGCTTTGGCCTCCTGATCCTCACCTTTTTCCTGAGTTTTGTGTTCCTCTATTTCTGGAGTGAAGCCCAGAACGACTACAATGACTTTGACTGGTTCGTACTGAGCACACTGACAAACACTGACAAGTGCTCACACATTAATGTTTTGCCTCAGGCACATATGTCTGGAGAGGAAACCTTTACTCTCTATTTTCCAACTGATTGGCAAATGGTTGCTGAAGGTTGCTGGCTGTTGCTGGGTGAAATCAGTCCCAAACAAGGTTCTGGACCAAAAACCTTTGCAATGTCTTTGGTCGCTAGAAGATTGTCACTTTTGCCCATAGTTTGCATTAAAAACACAGATGACATGTCTGCAAACACTCAAGCAGTAGAGAAAATGCAAACTAGTAACTGAGAATGTTTGCCTTCAAAGTAAAAGTTGTCCCTTATTGCTGAAAGAAAAATGTCACAAAAGATGCAACTTTTACTTTGAAGACGTCTCCATTTCTGGGTTGCATTGTACGCTTCAGTTTCACAACTGCTCATTAAGTGTTTGTTGTAATTTTTAGTGCATCCATTGTTTTATGTGATGGAGTTGGGATGTAGCCATAAGAGTAGAGCTGTTTGGAGGAAATAAAGTTGAAAATCAATCGTCAGTGAAACGTTTTTCAGAGTCAGAAAAAGACAACTTGAGCAGCTGTGACTGTCATAAAGCATTTGAATCTCCCACAACATTTGTTCATAAGTCTAAGTACACTCATATGCACTGATTCATGAGCAAGACACACATCTTGGGAGTTCATTCAATCGTCACTGATTTTCACACTTTGAACTTGTATTGAAAAATGCAACACAATACTACATTAACTGGTTATTTTTTTTGTAACAAAACCTAGCTGGTTAGGAATCAAAGAAAACATTGTTTAAGTAAAAAATACAACTGTTGCTGCTTTTAAAGAGCTTTTCTGTTCCAGCTTTATCTGGTTAAACATGTGCTCCACACACAAAATATGCATAAAACACATCACTTACAGATTCATGACAACTGTCTCCAGGAAATGTTGCAGTTTTTGTCCACAGGTATAAATGTCCACAGTTGATGACTGTTTGATGTTTTGTTCAGAGTTGGTGTGGATTAAACTGACCAAACACACCATGAAGCACACTTTAAACAGACATGAAGCTGCTGCTACAGTTTTGTTTCTGTCCTTTTGTATCTTCAGGTTTAACTTTGGGAATCTTGGGTTCTGGTTCCCCTGGTCTCTGGTCCTGCTGATTGTTGCTGCGGCTCTCTTCACATACATCGCTCTGCTATTGGTATGAACACCGATTTCAGATTTCAACCCGTCTGGAACCTGGAAATGTAATAGAAAACCAATTAAAAAAAGAAAGAAAGAAAATAGTGGTTGCCACTTTAATTCCCTGGAGCTGCCAAGAAAGCCTTTGTATTACAGCTACAACAATGTTCTTATTAAAGTTCAGCAAGTTTTCAGCAACACCTTATTGGGACCTACTTGACTGTTTGTTTGCTCTCCTGTTACCAACCTGTGCCCTCCTGCAGTTATGCAATAACAGCAAAGCATTGAAACATCACAGATTACTTGTTTGTTTTTTTCCACTTTAACTGGAGTTCTTCAAAGCGTTTTATTAGACACAAGTGTGCACTGTGCCTCGGGCTCTATCAGCAGGCCGTTTGACATTTAGGAGCTTGTCTTCTTCTCTAGAGTGACAAACTTATGTAAGACTTTTATATAAAACATGTGAAAGAAAAATCTGTATTAACAGTTGACTTTCTGCTTTGAAGATTGGCTTTGATCAAATCCGTAGAGATTTGACTGTTTTTATTGGACACATGAAAGAAATTTAATAATAAGAAAAAATCAGGACAAAATAAATTTTTATTTTTATTTTTTTTTAAAGTTCTTGAAGTTAAAGGTTTAACAGATGGTTGCTTTAATCAGCTTTATAAAACGCTAATATTAATAGATATTGGATATTAAGAATATTAATGTCTGACACTCTAAGCCTGTTCTGCACCTGTTGTTTAGGTGCTGGCGGTGTGTTTGCTTTCTGAGGGCCAGAGGTTGTACCTTCACTGGAGCCACAAGGTATAAATACAGAAATGTAAAAGAGCATGAAGTGTTGGTTTTTCAGGTCTCCGTTGGTGTGCACTCACATACGTTGTATTTTCTCGTCTTCCTCTCTTTGTCAGTCTGGTATTGTGGTGACGCTGGCGTTCTCCGTCACAGCCACCGCCATCCTCTCTGACCTCTGGAGCAAAGAATGGAAGACTCTCCTCCTCTCTCTGCAGGTGAGCCACACCAGCCAATCACAGCAAGGAGTGATTCGTTGTTTGGTTTTGTTTTTTTCAAATAATTAACCACAGTTTATTAAACATTGTACAGTTATTATTGTAGTCATAAATATTAGCAGAGAGATTTGTACAGTTATGTTTATTACGTGCTGTCGCTTTCTTTTTATATTTAGGTCACAGCACCTTACCTACATGTGGCTGCAGTGTCATTGATGGCGATTCTTTCCTGGCCAATAGCATTACATTTCTTTCGCATGAACAAGAAAGGTAAGGGATGTTTTGCACTTTAAAAATAACACTGAAAGTTGGGTGGGGCATAGACGGTGTAAAACATGGGTTCAACCGTCTTAGGGTGAAGACAAAATGGAAATGTCTCAAATCTGCCATCTTTTAATGGCCAGCAGGGGGCGACTCCTCTGGTTGTGAAAAGACTTCGGGTGTTCGTTACTTTACAAAGTTTCAGGTCAAACTGAATAAAGCATGAAGTTAATTTAGTAATTTATTCATTCATCACTTGAGTTACTGACTAATGACTCATTCCTGGAGCTTGCAGTGTCTTCAGTTTCTCAGTCTGATCTGCTGAAGTTTATCATATTTGATTTTTTTTTTTTGTTATTATTTTATTTCACATTTTCAAAATATAAACCAACACAAATCCCAAAACAAACAAAAACAGACCGTCTCAGATGTGTTCCAGAAAAAACAATTAATTCAAGCAAACATGCACTTCACAGAACACCACAGGATAGAGTACCAAAAGCTGGCGTTGATGAGAGTTTACAAATCTGGGTCCAGTTTAGTCCTCGCAAAGTGTTCCAAGAAGGGTTTCCAGACACTCAGAAGAGAATCTTTTGAGTCTTTGCTGAACTTTTCCATTTGTATTATGGACACCATGTCTGTTACCCACAACTGAAAGACACAACATTCCCTCGTCATATCTGATTTTTAAACACCAACATGAGGACAGTGCAAACACTCAGGTCGATGCTTTAAAACAGAACCTGGGTGATGTCTTTGTGCATGTCTTTCATACTGTGGGTGATTGTGCATTTGCAACACTGAACCTTTCTTAAGCATCTGATTCAGTTTTTACAGTGGGGCAAAAAAGTATTTAGCCAGCCACCGATTGTGCAAGTTCCCCCACCTAAAATGATGACAGAGGTCAGTAATTTGCACCAGAGTACACTTCAACTGTGAGAGACAGAATGTGAAAAAAAAATCCATGAATCCACATGGTAGGATTGTAAAGAATTTATTGGTAAATCAGGGTGGAAAATAAGTATTTGGTCAATAACAAAAATACAACTCAATACTTTGTAACATAACCTTTGTTGGCAATAACAGAGGTCAAACGTTTACTATAGGTCTTTACCAGGTTTGCACACACAGTAGCTGGTATTTTGGCCCATTCCTCCATGCAGATCTTCTCGAGACCAGTGATGTTTTGGGCTGTCGCGAGCAACACGGACTTTCAACTCCCGCCACAGATTTCTATGGGTTGAGGTCTGGAGACTGGCTAGGCCACTCCAGGACTTTCAAATGCTTCTTACGGAGCCACTCCTTTGTTGCCCTCTGTCATCATTTTAAGTGGGGGAACTTGCACAATCAGTGGCTGACTAAATACTTTTTTGCCCCACTGTATATGCTTGATTTTATAGGTTTTTAATCATATCTCGTATGTAGATCTACATGGAAGAACTCGTGAATGAAAATCACATGAAAAGTAGTTAAATATTTGATAATGCTACACCAGAACTACACCCTTTAAAAAAAACTATGTTTTTATGTTTTATTATAATAAAGGGAACAAAAAGCACGTTTTTGTCTCAGTTTAGAACCTGTTCTCTTTTAAAAGCCAGAGTATCAGATAGTTGGGAAAGAGAGAAGAATAGAAATAGGTATATGCAGCCTATCAGTACAGTAACTGAAAGAGAAAATAGGCTGAAGGATCTTAGGGAATTTCTTTATTGGCTTTTTGGCTGCAAAAGTTGTACTCCTGAGCAAATCCTTCCTTTTCTGTCAAAGCTTATCAACCTGTAGATCTCCCTCCAGCCACCGTTAGGCACAAAAGGGTTTTTATTTGAGTAATTTTCCTACAAACTGAGTCTGTTTTTATTGGTCTCGAGGTCATTCTGATCTCGTGCCCTGCCAGCTCTGCCCCTTTAGCTGCCATCTGTTTCGTTTAACCTGTCTTCAGGTTGCTTTCTGTCTTGTGTCATGTCATTTCCTCTCTGCTGAATGGCTTTGACCTCCGTGTCTCTTCTCTCTCTCTTCTCTCTGTTGGTACTTTCTCTTGTTGCTATGGTGATTTAGCGGGCAGAAGGATGCAGACTCGTGTCAGGGGTCTGTGCTAGCAGAAGCAGATTGTGTAATATGGCTTAGTCCTCTTTAATGTTTTGAGATAAGCATCTGGACAAAGTTAAACTGGATACTGGGAGAACTATTAAAGCTATTAAAACCTGTAAAATGAGCCATGTGCCATACGTAATAATTTCCAACTAGCGATTAAGCCCAACAACTTATCAGGAAACTGGATGTCCCATAGTCATTGCCTCCTGTTGGTCATTAGAAAATAATCCAGACTTTGAAGCTATGTGCGTTTATTATACTCGATTAAATCTATGACTTTATTTAATTTAGGATTGGTTTAAACATTGGTAAGGATTCCTGTGAAAGAAAAGCAAAATGTCTGTCCTCTATTTTGATGATGTTTGTAACAGTAGCTGATGGTTTCTGATGGTTTTGGGCAGGTTGTTCAAAGAGGAGACAGACGGGGCAGCAGTAGGAGTGTCTGTGCTTAGTCATGCTGAGACTCTTTAGTGGGACGCTGACAAAGGAGCACCTGTTGACATTTCCCAAAAGGGCAGAATTTCTCTCTCTATTAATGCCACAATGACCACAAAAAGTCCCACTTAAATCTGGCTTTTATCTGTAGCAGGGAAGTGTAAAATTGGCCTTCCTTCCTTGGTCAAATGACTCAGCAGTAGTCATAGCTCTCGTGCATAGATATATATACACATAGAGGCCACAGCAGGGCTTGCCCAACGCTGTCTTGCTCGGGGCATTAATCCTGTTCCTGTGCAAAATGCCAAACCTTTGTTTTGCTTTTTGATGCTCTAATGAAAGACATGGAGTAGCAGCACTGGTGTGAGGATTTTGTGCAACATTTTAATTATATATTTTACTAATTTGATGCAATACTTACACTGTGACCCAGTGTGGTATCAACACATAACTGACAACTTAGAAAGATCACATTTTAAATTGAATTTTTAGGCACTTTCTTATTAGCAGTGGGTCACAAAAAACACAACATGTTCCCTTTTTTTTAGTTTAATGTACAAAAAACATGCACACGGCAACACGGTGTGGCAAAGAGGCATTAGCTGAAAATGTAGCATAGCTCGGTATGGTTGAGGACACTTGACAAATGGAGGGCAAAAGAGGTGGTAGGTCTTTAAAGCTTAAAAACTATCAACAGCAGATGAAGAAATGGGGAAAAAAAACCCATCAGAGACTTGACACAGAGAGATGCATTTGTTCTTCAGTTGAGCCAAGTCTCCTGAAGTCTCTGAAAACTACTTAAACAAACTAGAAGAAAGCTACCAGAGTGGGCTCGGGCTTTATAAAGGCAGCCATACCAAATATTGAAGCTTCTTAGAATCGTGCAAACTCTGCTGTGTACATGTATGGCTGCACTCATTTCCATCTTCCTAGCAAATTATAAAGAAATGTGGGGTCACTCAAGATTTGTGCACAGTAATGTATAACCAAAGATTTTTTTAAAATATTTTCTTTCCCTTGTTAACCTGACTCAATAATAAGTGATATTCTTGATACTAATAAATTGATATATTAAATACAGGCAGTCCTCACACAGTTACAGATTTATTGTTTTTGCTGCAACCGTCTAAATAGTCCTTATTCTGGTCTCACCTTTTAATTTGACCTGCACAGAATAAACCGGTGCTGCCTGCAGAGTTTCTCTAAATGAAACAAACTCAGAGCCTCGTTTATTAGTGAAGACGTGATTTGTTTCAGCCTAGTTGGAGGCAACTTACCCCTCATTAAAATCTTAGTCCTGCTGACCTCTGGTGCTTTATTTGTCAGCTTTCTGTGTCGAACAGACGAATTCTGGGGTAACATGGTGTTCGGGGTGGATTCAGAGGGTGGGGTGATGAGTGGGGTAAGATATCTTTTATTCATCAGGGAAGACAATTAAAAAAGGCTACTCTGCCTGTTGTAAAGTTTAAACTATACACAGTCTTGCATGAAGTTACTATAAAAACTCATAGAATAGTCTTATTATTATTATCTGTATTTAAGAGGCTACAATTCAGGTCTTTGTATTTGCTCTCTGTCCAGACTTCCCTGTGTTGCCCATATGGCTGCTGTTGTTAAGCACTATGTTGATCCTATCAAGAAAGATTTACTCCATATTATCCTGATTAAGTTCCAGTTTCTACTGCATAGCACTCCTGTAACTGTGAAGTTTTATGCTTGTTAGTATTAGGATTTGTTTACATGTGAATTGCACAAATTACAGCAGAATGCGTGTATTTTATGTGCAGAATATTTGGACAGTAGTATGCAGTAGTACGCTCCTGTTTCATGACCGTTTATATATTTATTGTGGCATTTAGTCCGTCAGGTGGCCGTCCTGGGACTCTTTCTGTCCGTGCTGTTCTCGCTCTACTTGGTTCCTCTGGGAATGTACTCGCCCTGCATCAAAGAGGCGGGAACTCTGGGACCTGCCCCTACTCTCATTGGGCACAGAGGAGCTCCAATGGTGAGGCTGAATTAAACCATTATCATCTGATCTGATTTTGTTTATTCCTAAAGTAAGTTTGCAAAATATTTTAACTTGTGTGATTGTGGATTAGCCTCCCTTTGGGTAATGTACGCATCATAACGCTGACATCATCACATCAAGAATCGCAGTGCAGTTATGTAAAAATAGAAAACAATGATCCACGCTGCAGTTTCACACCTTGCATTTCCATCCACTGGGACAAATTGGACCCTTTGCCATCCTACTTATGGGGCATTTAAAAAATAAACTGCCAAACAGTTTTTTGACTTTGCCCTAAAATAAAGTCATTAAAAAAATTTCCACTTGGAGTTAAAGTGGACATTAAACACCACGTGTACAAAGATTAATTTGCACCATGAAGCCCTGCTCTCACAAACTTGCATAGATGTAACATAGCGGCTCATAGACTTACATTATATTAGAAAACCAGTGAACCTCAGTGGAAAACAAGATTAAAACTAACAAGTCTAAGGGGGGTCACTTTGGTACTCCCCCTGGCTACAGCAAAGAGTTTCATGTTAAGAAAACAAAGATGTACTGTCCACTTTCACTCTGTGTCTCCTAAACAGTCAGTGTTTCCTCGTTGTTTGGCTAGCTGTGAAACGGGAAAATCCACCTGTTGGCTGTAATGTTCATGCAGGTGGCAGCAGGGAAAGTGGATATTTGTTATTCAACATGCGTCTGAGCTTATATTGACATCATAGGAGGTCAATTCTGTCGTGGAAGTAGGTTTCCATCTAAGTTAATGTCAGCTGTGACAGTTCTAACAGTTGTGCTGCTTGTTGTAGATCAGAAATAAATATAAACAGCTTATATTAAGTTGTGCCCAGTAGCTCAGCAGATACTCTAAAGCTCACGATGTAATGAGGAAAAGAAAACAGGCTGATATCCAGATTGACGTTTTGGAAACTGATTTTGCTCCTGCAGCATCCTGTGTGCAATCCTGTTAGAATATGTCTGATCAGGGCGATGGTTGGATCCTGTTAAATACCCCAATTCTTTGATCTTTGGGCTGAAAGAAGAACAACACTTGGTGTTTAATGCTCAATCAACAATCTCTTTATACCATACAACCCTTTAGGCATAAACGTCCGGATGGGAGATTTGCACAGGAGGGTGTCCGGCAAAATCTCGAAGTGTCTGACTGTTTCTCACATTCTTATAGCTTCGGCCCCCTTCCAGACTAAGCCTAAGTTATGACCTTGGCTTCCTGTGCAGTATGTTTTGTTCTTTCTAATCAGACAAATAAGGCCATGATTCTCTGCAAACAGTATTTCTTATAAATCAGTAGTATCATGCATCATAAAACAGTGCAATATCCCCTTTGAGTTTTTCATCTCGGAATAAACAATCAGTTACAATCAAACAATCAATCTGCTGGTCCCTCTCTAGTCTAAACAAGTGTTTCAGTAACTTTCCACTAGAAGATGGTCCCCTCTTATCTACTTTCTCCCAGGCAAGCGTGAGCAAGAGTCTACAGCTTTCTACCCCCAAGGACACGTAGTCTAATGCCTTTATTTTCAGGGCCGTGTCGACTTAATACGGCACTTTATGGTTATATGGCATTTTAGTTAATATAAAGCATAGCATGGAATTCCATTCCAACAATCCCTTCTGAAATTGTTGCTTGTTTTTCTGTAGCTCGCTCCGGAGAACACTGTGATGTCTTTTGAGAAGGCAGTGGAAGCTGGAGGAGAAGGACTGGAGACTGATGTCACCATCAGGTGTGTCATCCTGCTGATTTTTTTTATCTCACTCTTTTATTTATGGAGCATGTGAATTGCACACAGTAATGTCACTGCTGTAAAAACAGATAGATCTTGAATTTAATCTACAAAATTCATTATAAACTTGACTTCCTGGTTACAAGGACCAGTCTCAGTGTTACAGAGTTACTTAAAGTAAAATGTCCCAGCAGGTCTGATGGTGCTCAGGATAACTGCTGGTTCAAGCTAGTTCAGATGCACCACTTGAGCTGCGTCGTATTGTATGCCCATAACAAGCGTAGCAGTCTTTCTTTCTTAACCCTCCTGTTATGTTGGTTTCCAGGAACACCGATTATGCTCCTGGGTTAATTTGACCCGGGGCAAATTTACTCATCCAAAAGTGTCAGAAACACTGGCATTGATTATTTTACAATTTTCTTTTATAATTTTGATTTTTTTCGTTTTCTGTAATGATGCAGATGACATGTGACATCTCTTCTGTTCTGGGTCAATCTGACCCGCAACATAACAGGAGGGTTAAGCTGAAAATTTCCCATCTTTCACTCTGTGTCAGTACTACTGCTACCTCAGCATCCACCTATAACCTCTGACAGGATGTGTTCTCACCAGTCATATATGCTGGCATATGCTTTATTTATCTCAGAGGCTTATTTGGTGGGTTATTTGTTTGCTGACAATAGGAAGAATCAGTGAATAAGTGTGTCTCACACCAAAAGTGTGAAAGTTTGGAACCTGGCATGTAACTTAAAATCCAGACTGCAGATGGCACGAAAAGATTGTTCATCTAAAGCCAGCCTCACATTACAGGATTACAAAAACTCATGACTGCAATCGGTGCATCCTTTGACACTGACTGTTACCTCTGGGCGTTTCTTTAATGGTAAAATGATCAGATCAATCAGATCAGGTGATCAGTGAACTACAGCCGAGTCTCTTGAATTACACAGATCAGATGCTAGCACGCTTCTCTCATTGCTGAGGTGATTACTGCCATGCTAATCCAATTAGCGGTGAGCACTCCCGTGAGCCTACAACCAAACGTTTAGCGCCATTTTACAACCTGAAAACAGGAGGATCAGCTGCATGGCTCAACATCAGCGGGTTAGCTTAATCCAGTGCTGTTGAGTCTGGTGGTGCTTTCATAAGAATGAGTTGTATTTCTGTGTTGTGCATGATACTGGGCTCCTGTTGTGTAACTACACTATATAATGTCTTTCATAAGGTGAGCTTCCTGGTAGGAGTGCAGCGATTTCTTTTTTTTTTTTTTTTATTCCTTCAGCCACATCAACAGATTTGTGAAAGAGGATTGAAGCTCAATAAGTGCAACTTACTGAGAGTCTGCAGGGCAGATTCTGGGGTTCAGTTTGTATCATAAATCTACATATTGTTGTTATGAAGTCATATTATCAGTGCTGACCAGTGAATCTGGTCATCCTTACTGCCTCTTCACTTCCTCTTCCCTTGTATCACTTACCCTTCATCTTGGAGTCCTACTTTTCCTTCTTGAATCCTCGTGTTGTGACTCACTGAATATTTCTTTCTGTCTGTAGTTTTGATGGTGTTCCCTTCCTGATGCACGACTCCACCCTGAAGAGGACCACTAACATCGCGGAGGTTTTCCCAAACAGGACACACCTCGACGCCTCCATGTTCACTTGGACCGAGCTGCAGCAGTTGAACGCTGGTGATTGGTTCTTATCGGTATGACCAGCACGGACGCAGCTCAACACAGAGCAACAGCAGCATGTTGTTGGCTTAGAAATGCATCATCTGTACAGAAACTACTGAAGAAACACATTCCTACAGATATTTAGAATTCACAAATGTTGTTTGAGTTCCTGCTGGCAGTGACCGACAGATAAACAACTAAGCCAAAGAAAAAGACAGAAAATGTCCCTCTAAGTTAAGAGCAGGTGAAATTCAACCTGATTTTTTTCCTCTCACCATCACTCTGCTTCTCACTTGCAGAGGGATCCGTTTGGCACCGTGTCATCCCTCTCTGTGGCAGACCGCTCCCAGGCCCAGAACCAGTCTATTCCCTCACTGGTCCAGTTCCTGGAGGTAGCAGCCCGAAGTGGTAGACTCGTACTGTTCGACCTGCGCAGGCCACCGCTTGGACACCCATACAGTCTGTCATACATCAACACCACTCTACAGGTGGTACAGGCCCACATCAACTCCTCGCAGGTAACTGATCAGGATTAATGTATCTGCACTTTGATTTAAAGATAACGTTAAATTGGTTTAATGGGGATATTTTTGGTTTCAGTCTAGTGCCGTTCTGCAAACACAATCAGTGCATTTATTTTTCCTATTGTTAATTTTTCCTGGTGTTGTTTGCTCACTGTGTTATGTGTGGCTGTAGGTCCTGTGGCTGCCATCTGAAGACAGGGACCAGGTCCAGGCTGTGGACCCACACCTGCAGCAGACCTCTGGAGAAAAGGCTTCTATCCAGGAGTTGACAGACGGACACATCACCAGACTGAACCTGCACTACAGCACCATGTCTCAGCAACAGATCCGGTACAGAGCTGATAAACGGCATACATTAAACGTCTGTCTTAGGCAGTTTTAATTAAAGATTGTTAATCACTGCAGCGGTAATTATTTCAGAGTTTCTTCAGATTTAGGTTGTATTCGTGTCAGGAGAGGCCACATGCTCACACTCATGAATTATTAACCAATACCAGGGCTGTTAATGATTTGAATTGTCATTTTAACTTGCATAAATTACTCAAACAACACATTAAAGATAAAACAAATATTAACCAACACAATTTTAATTGTGAGTTTAATTATAATCAAGCAGATATAAATAATAGCATTCATTTGAATGTATTGGCTGTCATCTTTGTGACAAACAAACAGCAACACAATCAGCTGCTTCTTCAGGTTTTGCCTGACCCGATGTCCTGGTGATGGAAGTTCTGCTCTGTGTTTCTTCTTTTTATGCACTGCAGAAAAACTATTCATGCAAAATCGGATTTCTAAAATACAAATTAAACATAGTTATTTGTACAAGTCTGTAAGTTCAGACTAGAAAAACAACAACAGATATAATGGCCTGCACATAGTTCAAACATTCAATTGTGCAATCACATCCATCTAGTGGCAAAACAACCCTATTTATACCAACTGAGAGAAACTTGACATTTTGAATTGGTCTCTTGTGTTTGTGCATGTGTGCAGTTATGTAACCCAGATACAGATGGACGCAGCTTCCTCAGTGACTCCATCTCGGTGCTTGTAGAACAACCTCAGGGAAGTGAGAGGGAGATAAAGGGCAGGTGTGAGAGATGCTCATCGCCGAAGTGAGGAGAGGAAAGTGTGGATAAAGAGGAATTTGTTCAGTAGAGGCGTGAAGGAAGCAGTGGAGGAGGTACAGACGGGTCCAGCTGAGAGGAGAATAAGAGAGGGAGGTAGTTGTACATTAACAGTAGCTGTGGAGAACAATCTGGAAAGAAAGATGGTGGAGTGACTCACATACAGACAGTTTTCAACACAACTTACACAGGCGACTGAAATAATCTTCCACTGTTACAACTGATTCATCTTCATGAAAACGTTTCAACTGTTAATTTGTCACCAACGGTGACGGGTGGAATGAGTCATACTGTTATTGCCTGATAGGTTTTAATCAGAGCATAAAGCATGCGGTCAAACTTTTACAAGTCTTTTACAGGCCACTGACTCACTGGAAAAACTGCAGTAGAATGTATGAATACCAGAGTTAAACTTAACAGCTTTCTTTTTCATCAGTAACAGTCTTTCATTAAATTTAAGGCTGCAAATGTGTGGAAAAGTTAATCCCTCAGAAGCCCACGTCTTTGTTGGTATGAGCGTGCATTAGTGCAGATGGAATTGGCAGCTTGCACATTTGGAAAAGCCCGATCAATGCTAACAGGTTTCAGAGCAGCATGCGCTCCCATCCAGGCGATGTCTCTTTGTCAGAGAAGGCCTGGCATGCTAAACTGCATCTCTCTCTCTCTCTCCCCCCCCCCCCCAGAAAGTACCAGTCAGTGAACATCAGCACTAACCTGTATGTGATCAGCCAGCCTTGGCTCTACACACTGGCCTGGTGTGCTGGAGCGCAGTCCGTGACCACCAACTCCATCCACATCCTGTCCAACATCAACAAGCCGCTGTTCCTGATGGTGAGCAGATTCAAACCTCCAATTCTTTTATGAGACAGTCATATTAGACTTTATTAACCTCCTAGGACCTGGCGTCCACATATGTGGACATCAAATGTTGGTTGTCTAGGCCAAAATACTACATTTTGCTCTACAAGGGCCTGATATCTAGGGATGGGTATCGTTTAGGTTTTATCTGATACCGGTGCCAAACCGGTAGTTTTGAAACGGTGCCGGTGCTTAAAGAATGGAGAACACAAACTTTGTCCAAAAACCTCTCATGTTCAGCTGTTTGGTTTTTTTTTTTGGTTTTTTTTTTGTAAAAAGATAGCAATGTTAGCCTTTTCTGCAGCTATAGGGCATATATGGTATCACTCTTGGCTGGAAGCAGTGCTTAAACAATGGAAAAAACACAAAACTTGTCCTAAACCTTTCATGTTCAGCTGTTTTCCACTTTTTCTTTGGTCATTTTAGTCTTTTTGGCCAGGGTGAAGGGAGTATCTGCCATCAAACAAGAAGACAGCCGCATGTAACTACGACGGTGTTTGCTAGTTCACCTTACATGCATTAATTTAATAAATAAAATAAATTACACACGAACAACATTAAGCTACTCACCCAGAGAAGAACGGCTGCTGCTGCATCATCATCCGTCATCATTTCTGCTACACTGGCAGGGCTAGGGGCCAGGACTCTCCTCTTCAGGTTCTTGGGGGATGTTGCTAACTCTGGGTCCGATAACAGGCAACCCACCCGCAGTAGATGTGCTCGCTGTGAGGTCTGGCAGCAAGCTATCAAATACGGGTGCATTTCTCGGCTTTTAAAAAAACGCTATGCGTCGCCAGGTGTTTCATCGGATTTGAGGTGTTGCCTCCTTTGACAGTATCATAGTATCAGCTTAAAGCACTTGTTGCAGGCTGCTGAGTTTGCATCTTTTGCTGTGAAGTACAGCCAGACTTTTGACCGCTTGGCCTTGGGCATTTTTAATCTGTAGCTCTGCCCTAAAAGAACGTATGTACCTAGGCCCGCCTACTATCCTTGGAAAGGTAAAATGATTGGCTAGAATCCAAAGTGTATGACATCTCAAGAAAAAAAGCACCGAAATGTGCGCTGCTTTTTGGTCTGGTTACTACCGTTTATGTCAGAACCAGTGCCATCATGGCACCGGATACGGTACCCATCCCTACTGATATCCACTTACGAGGACATTATACTACCACTGTTCTATCGAAATTTAAAATGAATGTACTCATATGTGGATGTCAGACCCTTGTAGAGCAAAATAAGGTAAAAAGATAATTCTTTGTTTTTCCATTCATCGGGTCCCAATCAGCCCAAATAGAAAAGATAAATTAAAAATGCATGCCGTGAAAGAGTTCGGGTCTTAGGAGGTTAAAGAAACCAGAAGGCTCTTAGAACTTAGAAACTGTTAAAAGTAATAGGATTGGTTACAAGCATTTACATATAATATATTTCATGCTTCATTAAAGAGTTATTCACAAGCTGGCACCACATACTCTGTTAGATATGAAAGCATTTGTAGAAGATAATGGCAGATTGTGTAAGGATGAACTGAGGCTGCGGTTTGGTGAAGGCCTGTGAGGGGACTGGCAGCAGCTCCCGAGGAGACAGATCCCCATGTGCTAATGACAGAGAAGCAGAAGGGAAGTGTCTGAGCTGTGGTCCCTCTCCTTAGTTTCAGATAATTACCTTCCATTATGCCTGATGAAAACAGTTTTTAGGCTTGTGTCAGCAAGCTTCAGGTAAGGCTCTGAGTAATTCACTGAAAAACGTCTAAAATTTGTTGTTATCCACTGAAGCTTGTGCAGCAGGTGTCGTGTGTGTTTGGAGATTGTACCTGTGAGCATTTGATTACATAAACCTTCTCTCCTGCTCCAGCTCCAGTGTAATTATTATTTTAATAAGAGTGTTCAGTCCGTTTACCATCACTGTGTTGAATAATCGTATTAATGCTCAGTCTCCTCCATCTGTGACCCAACAAATCTCAGAACTCTTTGTTTAATAAATGTAATAAATCCTTTTATTGTGTCTCTCTAGACCCCAGAGGAATATAGTCTGATGTGGATTCTTACTGATGTGGTGTCAGCCTTCCTCATCACTGCAATTTTCATATTCCACTGGTAGGAACACACACACACACACACACACGAGCCCGTTCAGCTATCTTAGTGAGGACCTTCATTGACATATTAATGGTTTCCCTAACCCTAACCATTAAAAATGAATGCCTAACCCTAACCCTAACCATAACCTGTGCATAAGCTGTGCTGGGCTGAGTCGGTGTGGCTCACTTTTGTGGAAGCAAACATTTTGTTTCTTCACACAAAAATAATATCGGAATATTTTTTCGTTCAGCTTCAAGAGATCCTAAAATTATGTTTTAATATTCTGCGTCTAATTATTTACTTTAATCTCTTCTTCAAATAATAATTATCTTCAAGTATAATATTTTTAAAATATTATAAAAATGACAATAAAGCCACATTGATTATATTTATTGATATTTGCAAACATTTCACAGTATGTGACGCTCGGCGGGTTTTCTCTTGATGTAAGATGTCAGTTTCATTTAAAGATTTATTAACTTTGATTATCTGTCTAGTCATACATTACGAAGTAATGAGCTACTAAGAACAGCATTAATAATGATAAATGCTCCTTTTTATCTAAAGAAGCTGCCTTTTTTGTACTTTCAAATATTCAGCCACGATTTGTTTTATCAACTCAAACTGAATTTGTCATGAGATTGTGTTCACAGCGAGATCACGAGGGGTTAATTTAGATCTGAACTCAAGCACAGCTTTTTCAGGTTAGCTATTTGTGACTATAACTAGCAGCCCTTAGACTGAGGATATGAAGAGAGTTGGAGTCTTTCCTGTCACACAGACGATGCTCTTCACCACAAAGAAAATCCTCTGTGGTTTTATTTGTACTTTTTTTTTTCTGCGTTGCCCCTTTCATCATCTGCTCCTTCCTTCACTCTTTGTATAGGCGGGCTTCAGTTGAGGCTCGCCCAGACCTCCTCTCACATGTGTACACATCAAAGCTGCTACACGCAGCAGCCTCAAAGCACAGTGGTAAACACAGCAGCACACCAGGTTACGCTCTGCTGCTCTGATCTCTGTTTGCGGTGTGTGTGTGACAGGTGGAGAGAGCGAGGCCTGCCCTTCTGGTCCGGCAGCCGGCAGACTCACGAGAATGGACCATACAGCAAGTTCAGGACAGGTATAACAACGTTTTTCTTGTACACAGTGCTGGATAAATGTGAAACATCAACTTTCAGCAGATTACACACGTGTTCCAGTAACTTTGTCATGCTTTGTCCCCGTCATGGCTGATATTACCTGTTTTCTGTGATACGTTGAAGTGTCCTTGGGCAAATACTGAACGCTTTATTTCCCCTGATGCTTCCATTATTGTGTGACTCTGTGAGTGAACGTTAAGGTTCAAAGGTCAAAGTTCTGCATGATTGGTGAATCTGCAACTAGACAAGACAAACTGATGAAAACAGATGTAAACATCTGTGTCACTTTCATCCCGGCTGAGGTTTAGCTTAGACTTTAAAGGTGCTGCTAGTCTGCATTCATTGAAGACTGTGTTACATATTCAGGGGTTTTTACTACATGGAAATTAAATGTTTGGTGATGTTGTCATAAAATTAGGTTGTCCTTTTTAAAAAAAATTAAATTTGGTATTTCATTGATTTACACGTCATACTCATATTTGGTTGGTGAACGGTCAGAAATGTGAGGAAAACACTCAGATTTCTGCCAGTAGTGATAGTCTCACAGCCTTCACTTTGTTCAGTGATCGTGCTTAACGGCTGAAATAGTCACCCACACAGTGCTGTTGTAGCTTCTTATGTAGCAGGCTAGCCACCAAGACTGTAGCTATTTCATGAAAACATCTGTGCATGCAGTGATCTCCTGCTGTGTGTCGTATGTGTCATGTGTGTCAGACTCCGCCGAGATCATCTGTGTTCGCTGGAGCGCTCTTCACTCTGACCCTCCTCCTGGAGCCCTTGTCTCCCTCCCCCTGGTCTTCAACCCATGACCCCCCGCATGTCAGCCCTGCATGTCGTCCCTCCAAGAACCTTGTATGAGTCATGAACCCTGTTTTTAATGTGCATCTTTCTGTGTTTCCTGCTGAAAAACTGCTTTCCATCATCCATGGAAATCATATGAAACTCTGTGAAACTACAAAGATCATTAGCTGTTATGAAAGTTTTTAAAAAGTTCAAGAACATAGCCCCTTAAAATTAAAAAGACAGTTCAAGATCATCTTGTCGTGGCGATCGTGGCTCAAGAGTTGGGAGTTCGCCTTGTAATCGGAAGGTTGCCGGTTCGAGCCCCGGCTTGGACAGTCTCGGTCGTTGTATCCTTGGGCAAGACACTTCACCCGTTGCCTACTGGTGGTGGTCAGAGGGCCCGGTGGCGCCAGTGTCTGGCAGCCTCGCCTCTGTCAGTGCGCCCCAGGGTGGCTGTGGCTACAATGTAGTTTTTATTATTCTAATAAATAGAGCTGGTGAAAAGGGTGGAAGAGGAGGAATAAACATCGCCTCTGTTCTGTTCTCCCTCAAACACCTCAGGATGTTAGACTACAGTCTTTTTTGGAGGGGCGGTGCCTCTGATCTCTGTTTACACCTGATCTAGTGCCTTTACGTTTGCACACTGTGGACTTGTCAGTTTAAAAAAATGTTGACAATGGCTCGGTCATATCTGGACACCCAGCTCTTATGATAACGATCTTTCACTGACAGTGTCAGTCTAAAACAGAAGTTGTCTGCTCTCTCCGTCCTCGCTGACATTGCAGACTGCCGAGGTGGTCACAATAAGGATAATTTGAAGCATTAGCGTTTTTTAGGTGGTAGTTATATCTGAAAAAGATCCTCACTACCATTTGTCACATCAGCAGTTCTTTTGACTTCACTGTCAGATGAAGACTCTTCATGATGTGACACAAAATTTCTTTTCTTCGCAAAAAGTTCCACGAGCACATCTCCTCCATCCCCTCATCACACTCTGGAGTTTTTAATGTGTGACACTGAAACGGCCCAAACAGGATGTGGTTCCCTTTGAAAGAATTTTGTTTTGTGACTTTATGTTCTGCAGTAAATGACTTCCTACTGAAAGGACTGGAAATAAGAAAAAAGTAATTTATTACTCATTGTGCAGCTGCATATGGCAGTAATATGTGATTTGCCAGAATATTGGAGTTTGTGTCACAGCACGCTGTTTGAGACCCGCTGCTGTACAATAATTACAAATTGGAAAATAATGATCTGCAGGATTTGTGCTTGTGTATCATGCACTTACCTCAGTAGTGTACCCCGTCATTTATGCTGTCCTTCCTTCTTTAAGTCCTCTGACCTCCAGTTTCACCTTTGTATTAATTCCCACCATGCTGACACCATGTGACAGTATAAACTGTTGTCGTGAACTCACTGAACACTGTTTGGGTTTTTCTGTTTTGCAGAGCTCAGCGATGTTTGGTCCATCTCCAGCGTCACTGTCCGGCCTGATTTACGGAGCATGCCTACTTCACCCAGCACCCCTCACCTGCCCACCATCACAGAGGAGTGAGAGGGAGGGAGATTAAAAAAGGAAGGTGCAAGTCAGGAAAGGACAGATAAGAGATGGAAAAAGTCCTTGTTGAGAGTGTGATGAAGGCCTGTCAAACTCTCTGATCTTAAGCTTTTGTTATTTAATTATTGTTGCTTATAATAGTCAGTCTATTACTTAGCATCAGTTTAACACCCACAAAATCGATGTGGATTGATGGGACTTGACAGTGTGAGCAGCCAACACAGCATTTGTCTTCACATTTTGATGGAAAACTCCGAGCAGTGCACAGAAATTTGTGACACCACCTTTTAACAAACAAATGAAAACTAAAAATGTTTGGAAGTCATGACAGAGAGAGCAGAAAGTAGACGGCACACTCTATTCTCCATCTGTCATCCTCTCGGTCTGTGGGTGGGCCGCCTGTGGAAGACGAACAGCTGGAAATAAAAAGCCTTCATTCATTTCCCATCAGAGATGAAGCAAATGGACTGTGGACACGCGCCCTGGGGTGTCCGTTTCCATACTGTAATCTCATGATGCCATTAAATTCCTCAAAGTGAGGACAGTTAAAGACGAGACCAGAGGATGAGGACGTTTTCATTTCTGGTCATTCGGCACGGTGAACGAACAAAATAATGAACGTCTGCAGCTGCAGTGATCCATCAGTCACCTTTGTGCGTCTGCTCGCTGATGAAGGACCGAATGTTGATCAGAGACGCTCTGTGATAAACTGTAAACACAGAAGAAATGAAATGGACTCTTACATATGAGCTGTGCTTTTTCATTTTCAGCTGTACAGACATCAGGTGCATCAGACAAAAACCTTAAACCATGTCTTAAATGATCATTTGTGTGTCTGAATTGCTAGATTCAGTGTGTGAACTCGACACTGTTGGACTGACAGAAAGAATGTAAACCAAAGGCTCGGGAAGGGTACAGTTCATCTGTGTACTAAAGTGAATGTAATATTAAGTTTCCAAAAAGTATGCAGATTTTTGGCTGTATGTCCAACATGACATTTTTCCCAGGGTCAGATCTCAGTTTTACCACCGTGGGGAAAAAGTCATTTAAATTAGTTTATATATACATATATCTCTATATATTGCTGGTTAGCTTAATCTATAAGTACTATAGCATAATTAATCAGTAGGTTTATTTTTTTATAGTAATAGTCTAAACCTGCAATTAATAACTAGAGCTTTAAGATAAATGTAGTGGTTTAAACGTCCTACTGTAGGCTCCCCCTGCATGCTGCAGGCATCACTGCTCGAGAGAGACGGCGGCTGCTGTCAGCCTGCAGAGGTTTACAAGGAATCTGCAAAATGTAATGATGGTGACAAACTAAACATTCAGTTTGTCTGCATCCAATCAGCTTTTGTTTTATCTTATTTCAGTCGCTCTGTCACCGTGTCAAACACACCTGGCGGTGGATGGTACCAGGTGTGAAGTTAGTTTTGTAGATCAAGGACTCTCATTGGCTTTTTACCTGTACTGGTTTTGAATGTGATTGGGTCAACGTGCCACTCACAGCCCTTCATCTTTGCTCTGTGTGTGTGTGTGTGTGTGTGTGTGTGTGTGTGTGTGTGTGTGTGTGTGTGTGTGTGTGTGTGTGTGTGTGTGTGTGTGTGTGTGTGTGTGTTTTAAGTCTTTTAAGTCTTTTACAGTTTATGGATCCATCAGTTTGCTGGGGTCCACTTTGGTCCAGGTGATGTAAATTTTCTTATCTGATATAAAGCAGGAGTCTCCGTGTGGAGGCCTGCGGGGGCGGTTGGGCAGACTTTGAGCAGACTTCAGAGACATTATGAATGAACACCGCTCTGTGATGTCTGCAGCTGACTGTGTATATTCCCCACCACTGCTCTTCACGCAGATTCAAACCCAAGTCTGCTTCAGTTTGTCAAAACAATCACTCTCACAAGCTTTTGAAAACCCCTCTTGCAATGCAGAGAGGTTTATAAGTTTAGTGGCTTGACTGAAGCAATTCAAATGAACAGAGTCGCACCTCTTCCAGGTTAGGTGATCACATGGTTAAACAGACCTGATGTTGGGGGTTATTGTTGAGCAGGCGCTGCAGAGCCACCAAGAACAAACTTGTTTATGGTGTTGTGTTGAGTAAAGTGGGGGCTGAATCTAAATCTAAGCTCCTAAATCCTTTTAACCGTCCGCATGGCTCTATTTTAGTCACACTGCCTCCCTCATTGCCTCTCCTTTCAGCAGCCTTGTGGACCTTCTTTGATGTGAGAATACTGACTGCAAGAAAAGTCTGTTTGTTAGTAAAACGTGCCAGCGGCACAAACTGCCCGACACGCGGGGGTTTTTTTTTTTTAAACTTGCTGCTGGTAATTTTATTTTGGTGTCTCATCAGTGCCAAGTGTGGTATCAGTGTCAGAGAAACCAGACTACTTTAATGAGGTGATAAGTGCAGTATCAGCGTTGTCTTCAAATATATACCCAGTATTTCCTGGCTACACACTGCTGTAAGCGGATTTGTTTTTCATCACTTTGATCGCACATCATACGTAAATGTGCCGGATTCTTATTTAGAAAATACAAAATAGTTTCTAAAAATTCTCCAATGGTGACTCATTATGCTAAAAGTGCAGTCTTTGCTACAAGCACATGTTTAATGGACCAATTTCTGTGTGGAAATGTGAGTAAAAACAAAACACTGGAAACCTGTCGACTTGGCGTAAAAAGTAATTTGCTGCTGTTTTTTTTCTTTTTTTGTACCTCCAGTGCTTTTATCCATCCTTTATTTGCCAACTCCCGTCTGCAGTGCTTTATGTCAGTGTCTGCAGGCTCAGCTCTAAACATTCAGGGTGAAGAGCAACAGGACAGAGACAGTTTTGTTAGCTTTGACCAATCTTGTATGTTACTCCCCTCCTGTCCCCTAATCAGGGTCGTAACACTGATAATGAGAAGTAAATTAAGTGTCTCGTGTCTTAATTAAGGCACAAAATAAGACTTTGTACCCCTCAGCAGTAAAAGCCTGATGGGACGTTATCGTCACCCTGCCGGGCAGGCCGGTGGCATGGACACAGTTTGTGAATGGAGGAGAACGAAGCAACATTGTTACCACGGGTGCATCTTCTGAGAGGTTGAGGGTAACGCGGCAGCTGTCATTATTTTCCTATAGTGTTAAAATCTGCACAGTTTTCAGTAAATTCCCAGCTGCAGACTTCAGTAAATGATAATTCATTTAAGTACTCTCCTCCAAAAATCTTCAAAAAAGTCAGAATTAAACAGGACAGCTGAAATCTACCACTTATATATGCAACGAGGCAGTTGAAGTCTGACACCAGGTGTCCTTAGCAAATTCAAACGGTAGTTTTCAAAAGAGGGTTTTGTGCCAAATTTCTCCAATTTTAATCAATTCATAGATTTGAATAAATGATTTTGTTGGAAACTTGGAGCTGCTCTCGAGCAGACTTGCAGCTTTCCCTGTTCTGCACCACACTGGACTCCCATGTTGGGCCCACAGAGGGCTGGGTTTGGTCCAGCAGAGGGCAGGGAGACACAAGACCTCCGAATGATTAGAGCTCAAACAGTCACGATGCACTGTAATCTGAATGTGTAGTTGGTGTTTGACAGTGGCTGATCTGCTGTGTAAGCTTGATGTTTTAACTAGTTTCTGTAAACAGCCGTTTTTAGTTGAGAGTAATACTCGAGCATCCAGAGGAACTGCTGGAATTTCACAGGACAGGCAGCAAACAAACAGCATCAAAGAAATCTGTGTAATACGTTTATCAACATGCTAATTGCAAATAAAATCTACTCAAAATCATAAAAACGTAGTTGATATTTTGTGACTTTTGACCAAAGAAAGCTACGAGAGTAGCTTTGTGCGATTGATGCCTGAAAATCCAGTCCATCCTATTCGTCTTACGGTGCTTTGCTGGTTATAGCATTTATGACGAGACCCGGATTCTTCATACAGAAATAATTATCCACTAATCATTAATGGGTTTTAAAAAAATCGATTGTTACCACCAATAATGGGCGGACAGACGTGTTTAAGTCGGCATGTGTTTGAGAAACCCCCTTTTATGCCAGTTTTTCAGTTAAGAAAAAAGTCAACAAGCAGCTGGGCACACAGCGCCATCAGCAGGCAGTCGGGTCGTCGCACTTTGGCCCAGCAGTGGGCCCGTTTTACAAGCAACTCTTACAGTTTATGCTAGAGACAAAATCCAAATGGTTCCTGAAAGATGAGAACTGTCCAGCCAAAACTACAAAATGAATTCAGGCATCCTGTTTGATACTTTAGGTGATAAAGTTTAAGACTCACTGAGACTTCAGGCCTCTCCGGGTTGAGGGGTTAAACCGTCCAAAACAGGCCACCTTTAATAAAGACTGATGATCTGGATTATCTGGTGCTTGGAAAGATTTCGTTTCGTAGTCAGTGCAGCGTCTCTGCTTTGCTGTCTTCATTCCTGCAGGAGTGCAAACATTTTTAAGCGGGTACAACTGAGGCTGTCTGTTAGTTGTTTGGTTCGTCGATCCTGGAGGGGTCCTGTCTGCACACAGAGGTTCTGTTCATTGGCTGCTCTTTAAATGTGACTCATCTTTTAATGTTACGGATGTAAGAGACATTTACAGGCAAAGTGGGACCTCTGAGGTGTTAAATGATAAAAGTCACTGAAAAGAGCGAGAGCATCAAATCTTATGTATCGCTTAGTGTTGTTTTTGAATAATGAGCTTCACACTTGGTGCTGAGAAGTGATCTGTGATATAATGTAATATTATAAAACTAGTATCATAGTTCAGATGCTAATCTTTCAAAATGTTAAATATGTTCTGGTTTTTTTACATTGTGCTGTTCTGACCTGCAATATTTTATTTTAAAGGAAATTATTTTGCTTTACTGTAACTTATCTGATGAAATGCTGCCGTCACCTGGTATTAAACATTACAAACAGAAGGTTTGATTCTTGAATTTTACAGACACGCAGTACAAAGTAGCAGTAGACCAGAAATCCAACTTTAGTAAGACATTTTAATCTTTTAGTATTTCAGACGTTTGACTGATCATACTTGTTTTGAATATTACAGTAGTGAAATTAAGTTGAATCCAAATTTACTGAGTGCTTTGTACAAAAGTGAGAGCACACGTTACAGAAACACTACAGGAAGTCAGGATGATGAGTTACACAATCAGAGTCAAAACACAGACTAATACTCTGAAAACAGAAACACAAAAGGCAAAAACTTCAAACGCGAATGTATCAAATGGACTGATTGGCACAGTTACAAGCACCAGTTTATTATACAGACAAAAGCCCAGAGCTGGTTACCAGAAGAATGAAGGGTTCAACAGGTCGACGTAATGAGGTTAAAAAAAGAACCAGGCTGGAATTTCAAACACAACAAAAACACAATTATCATGTAAACCTTAATAAATTGTAAATTCAGAGCAAATAACTATAAAAAGGTTAATTAACTATCAACAGTGTTTACTGATTGTGGATAGGTTTGTTGCAACTTTATGATAAACATGCAGATCATTTTTATTACCTTTACCTTCTGTTCAGTTAGATTTAGTGGATCATAGTTTAGGTTAAAATATCAAACTTAGCGACTCACACCGAGCCCCTGCACCACCAGACCGACGCCACCGGACACTCAAGTCTGAGACACCAGCAGCTTCGACATAAATTTATTACACAAACGAAAGTCAAAAACTGAACCATGAGACCTTTATTGTAGTATTTTTAATTGATATCTGACTTAGCATCTGTACCTGCAAGAACAGTGAAACTGAGTCGCTGTACATTTCCAGGAGCTCAGCCTTGATATGGAGCTACGCGTTTGCTTCTGTTAAATTCATTAGTTGTTCTCATTAATAGGACTTTCATGAGCTAATCTATAGTTACTCAGTAATGATTTGCTAATACTTTGGACAAATTGTACTTGAATGCCTGAGTACAGGTCTAAATGGATTTTGCATCTAAAACCTTTAATATGTATTAAAAGGGAACTCGAACTTAATATCCATAGTTTGCAACTTCCAAATGTACTCTTATTTTACTTTAACTGGGAGTTCCAACAGAAATCAGCAAGTGTGGTTTTTCTTTGTACCTCGTAAACATCAAAAATGATGATGATTGCCGTGGCGTATAACCAGAGTAATGGCGACCTTTACAGGTCAAAGTGTGTATTTAAGATTTATGTAACAGTGAAAATATCAGCGTTTTTAACAGCATGTTTTAGCAGGAGAGGACATTTACTTTGTGTCTTCCTTCTATATTTTTATATCCCCCTTGCTATAAGGGCTGTGTAACATCCAAATTTCTCATTCGCTGGATAATAAAGATTTAAAGACTTACAAGTAGGTAGGCAAAGTTTACTTTAAACCAGGGGCGGGGGAACTCTAGGTCTCAAGGGCCAGTGGCCTGCAGGTTTTAGATGTGTCCTTGATTCAATACACCCGATTTAAATAGTTAAATTACCTTCTCGACATACCTTGCAGTTCTCCAGAGGCCTGGTAATGAATTAATCATTTGATTCAGGTGTGTAGACCCAGAGTGAGATCTAAAACCTGCAGGACACCGGCCCTCGAGGACTGGAGTTGACCAAGCCTGTTTTAAAGGCAGGAAAAAGTGACGTGACTGATGGTAGTTTGTTTTAACTCAGGGTCCACATTACTCATCAGGACAGTATTGGCTTTGATCCTGATTAGGTCAATTCCAGTTCAAAAGATAGAACTCATCCATATTAGGAAAACTGAGATTCAGCTGGAAACCCCATAACCAGCTAACAAGTGACCTTTGAGAACATTTTTACAAACTAGAATGTAAAAGCCTCATACAGGAAGAAGCAGCAGCTCTCACAGAAATGACGCAATACAGGCAAAAATGTAAAACTGAACAGTTGTAAAGAAATAAAAAGTGTAAACATAAACCATGAGTATTAAAATAATCCCCTGTATTAAACTGTGACACACTGAAGTCATTAACCTAAAGATTAAAAACATGTTACAGGTCAATTTAGTGTCACAAAAACAACAGAAAAGTTTTAAATAAGCTCAGAGGTGTGCTACGAAGGACGTTCACCACAGCCAGGTTTTCTTTGTGTCAGCTGGACAAAGAAAAACCTGAAACCAAAGTCACGTGACTTTATCCACAGAAAATGATCCCCGTGAGTGACACCTACTTTAAAGTCACAGATGATAAAATAGTGGTACAAATTTGAATATTTTAATTCAAGCCAAGCGCACTCTGCGCTGCTGATTATTTCTAACCTGACGGCTGCACATCAGAGCTCTGAAACCTTAAACTGGACACATTTAAACAGTGAAATACTTGAATAATCTTTGTGTGTGTTCTGGGTTCTAGATGCTGCAATTGCAGCAGTGTAAAGCAGACTAAACTGTAAATGAGGAGCACTTATAAAAACATTTCCTGTATTACCAGCTGAGTACATGCAGATTCACATGTCAATGCCATGCAGAGTTTATGCTGCTGTAAGTTTGTCATGGTAGTAAAGTGCAGCTTAACAAGTTGCATATCAAACGTATTCCCACAGCAGAGGATTCATATTGCACTTAAAGCATGATGTAAATATGAGTCAGTGACTTAACTCTGAGCACAAAACCTGCTCCTGACCAGGTTATTGTGCCAGTTAAACAGAGCCACTTTCATGACAGAGGAAACTCTGACTTTAAGCTCGACATGGCCCACTAAGCCATCGTAGTACACCCCTCTGGCCTCCTCTCAGTTTGGACCTAAGGTCAGGGAAAGAACTACTAAAAACAAATGATGAACTGGAACCCAATAAGAGCAGACGATACACATGAACATAAAATCTCAAATGTGTCTGACCTTGACTTCCAGGAAGTGTTGTATCAAAGAAAAGCCATAAACTTTTTGACTTTGAGTATTTCAAGATGCTCAAAAAACAAATCGCTAAATCTGCTGTAAGGCTCTAATTTACACACATGAAACTAACGAATGACAAATGTGTGTTTCAGGGTATTTACAGAGTTACCAGCTAAATTTAAGACCTTTTTAGCCCTTTTATTAAAAATTAATATACAGTCTAATATCAGTTTGAAAATCATTGATGTTAAATTTACTGAAATGTAAGTTCCTGTTAATGCTGCATATGAAACTACAGCTATTTAATCATCTGGATAAGATGGACGGATCGAGTAATTCAAAGAACAAACATTTACTCAGTGAGAGATGAGAAAATATACGTCTTTAAAAGACTACGCTGTTTTTACGCTCTCAGGCTGGATGGTTTTTGTGATCTCAGATAATCTTTTTCTACACTCTGAGCTACTTTTTAAAATCAGCCTCAGTTTGATGAGTTCTGACTCTTCAGCCTCATGTCTCAGCTGAATGTTTCTGTGCATTTTAACTCCTTCTGGGGTAATTTAGATGTCTGCAGAGTTCATCAAATTATTTGTGAAAGTGCTGAAGAAACAAAAGGAATCAGCAAGAAATGGCCTAAAATAATTTATTATCTGTGTATGTATTAAAACAAGTAAAGGAGTAGTCAGTCCATTAGTTTGACCTAAACATGTACAAGTGAACTTTAATGGATGGATTTGATGAGCTTATAATGAGGCAGGGGGTCCCCACAGGTGTGACATCTGAAACACGTGATATCGTAAACATTGGGCAAAAGTAAGAGGCTTTAATGCTCTCTAAAACCTGCACAAACCCTGTTAACAGTCAAATATCCCCTTACAGCAGTCTGGCGCATTAGCGTGTTGCTATGCTAATATGTAAAAATGCTCAATTAGAAGTCAGGTTAGCATAAAGTGCTAATACAGGGTCATGTTCAGGGTCACTGCAGTGTGTACTTAAGGCTCAGACCTGACGATGACAGCGTCTTCTTAAGGTGACGCAGTCAGAAAGGACAGTTCAGAGGTAGTCATCCTCACTGGACGGCTCGTCTTCATCATAGCTGTAGTGGTAATTGTTGCTGGGGCCTTCGCCGGGGTCGCTGCTGCCGCTAGCATTCGAACTCTCCCAGGTGAACTTTGACCCTTCTGTGCTAGCAGAAGGACTGCGGCTCATCCTCCAAAGGTGGCTGGTAAAGGTCCGCCCCCAGCTGCAGTGCTGGCCAATAGGACGTAAGAGGCGGATGAGCTCAGTGGCCTCCTGCCAGTAAGAAGTTCACTTGCTGTGGCCCCGCCCTGACCGGTGCTTGTTCATGGTGGTCAACATTTGGCTGATGTAGGAGGTCAGCAGGTCATCCATCTTGTAGCCCTGAAGGTTTAATCACACAGTCAGCTGACCTCTCCACTCCAATCACATTTTTTTATTATAGTTTTACATAATTCCCTTTTTTTTGGTTTCATTTAAGTGGAAAGAATAAATAAACTGATACAATCAAGTTTAACTATACTATAAAACAAAGCTACAATGTCTGTGAAGGTTCTCAGTCATCCAGGTTATCGTAGTCAAAGGAGCTTGCAAAGAAAAGCGTCTGGACTTCTTTAAGTTGCTTGAAGACGTTTCACCTCTCATCCGAGAAGCTTCTTCAGTTCTAAGGTCAAATGGTGGAGAGTCCCACATTTAAACCCAGTGGGAGTTTCCCCCCACAGAGGGACAAAAGGACCCCCTGATGATCCTCTAATCGCCTGAGCCAAGGTGTGAAACTGGGTGTGGGTCCCAATCAGCCAGAGTTTTGGGTGAGCTCATTGTGAAACCTGGCCCCACCTTATCATGCGAATTCCTGAGGTCAGATGGCCCAGGATGTGAGTGGGCGTTAAGGCGTCTGGGGAGGGAACTCAAAACTGGATTATAGATGGCAGAGAGTTGGTGTCGTAAACCACCGCCTCTGTTCAAAGACGGTCGCTCACAGTGGACATAGATGGCTTCTTTCACTTCTCTTTCAGCAGCTGTACAGTGCAGCGAGGAATGCCCAGACCTCTACATTGGAGAGACCAAACAGCCACTTCACAAGCGC